CCCCCATTTCTACATTTAGTTAAATATATAAAACTGAATCCCAGGTGACACTATTTTAAGGAAGTGAAGCATCAATCATTAGCTGGGGAGGGGATGGGAGAATAAGTACTGCAAAGCAATTCCACTGGCTCTTTCCTCTGTCATCAGGTTCAATGTTTGGCTATTTATGGTCAATACAGAAAAGCAAGTGCTCCCTCTCTAAAGGATTTCTAGAAGGTCTGAACTAAACAATATGTTCCTTGGTTCATAGAATAGTCATTCTGATATCTAGAAAGGGAGTGACATTTGGGTGAAATGAACAGTTTGGGAATGTTTTACTTAACAATTGTAATCTAAATATTAGAAATAAAATGGGAATATAGGATTGCCCTTATAAAATGGTCTGTGTTGATAAAGAAATTTCCCTTTCTTTGTCAGCACCCACTGCTATACCTAATATCTCAGGGAAACAGGTAATGGTAATTCTTTCTCAGATTTTTGGTCTCTTAAATGAACTGTGTCGTCTAGGGCCATGCACACAAGCTGCTTCATTTCTTAAAGGGTCTTGGTTCATAAGCCAATAAAGTTTTGCCAAGGGATACACTGTACGGCTTTAGGAAGGGAATCAAATCTACTAAATACCCAAGAACAGAGTTCCCCAATTCATACTGGGGGGTTTCGGGATGAGTTTCAGGTAGAACTTCACGGGTGTGTGAACTGAGCAGTTACACAGGGCCCTGTGATTACAACGGGGCCTGCTTGCTTTAATGCTCTGCTGCTGCCGTCTTGAAATTCTTAATAATTTATCTTTGATCTTGTGTTTTGCACTTGAAGTCTGGTGAGACAATGGAGCATGCACATGGGCAGAGGAGATACATACAATATGTGGTCTCCTGGCTCCTTGCCATCTGACCCATTCACACACAGTCTTAGCAATGTCCCACAAGCATGGAATACCAGTGGACCCACAATGCCTGGGAGTTCAGAGAGACTCAGAGAACACACGAGAAGTGTGTTACCTCTATGATTGAGTAAGCGGGATGTTAACTATCACACTCCTTCTGAACCAGAACTTTCTTTAAGGCAGAAGGAAATCAATGGTGTCCTAGGAAATATGAATAACCAAGGAATCCTATATATCCCTATTGTGTTACTTCCCTGTATTAGCCAACAACTTACTCTGAAAAGGATGATATAGAAGGGAAGGAAAAAACAGGTGACCCACGGTTCCCTTTCTTGTCAGTCCTTCCTTACCTACATCAGTAAACTGAAGGTAGAATGTTGGTACAATATGTGAAGAGTAAAATAAAAATAGGTAAGTTAGTTTTGTTCGGTGTTTCCACTGTTCTGTTAAGAACAAAATATATCCACATATGAGTTATGACTATGAACTGTGTAACTTTGCTGATTCCACATATGAGTTAAATGCTTTTATATTTGCATGTTAAACTGGCATTGCACAACATAAAGAAGAATGATAAAATTAATACTACTAAGTTTAATTTTTAATATTTCCTTACTTAAAATGACATTAAATAGCAAATAAAAAACACCATGACAAGTCAAGAGAAAAACCGCAGAAGAATGGAAAAAGCTTTATATTTTAGCATCTTTGGAGGCACTTTTTCCTGCTTTTTGAACAAGGGTCTCCACATTTCCATTTCACACTGGGACCCACAGGTTATACAGTAGGCCCTGGTTTCAGGTGTATCCAAAGTATTACTGATCTTTCCAGCCCTTGCAGGGGCTTGCAAAGGGCTTGGGGTGGTGGTCCCCAGACTCCCTTCCCACCTGTTGTCCTGGCAACAGGCAGCCTTGATGCTGTACCAGAACTCTCAAGGTGGGCCATGAGGTGAAAGGATTAGGGAAGCCAGGCTTCCTCGGGTATCACCCAGCAAACCATCTCTGCTGGAAGCTCGCACTTGTGTCTGTCACAGGCACTCTGATGAACTTGACAATGCATAAAATCCTTAAAAACCCAAGTTCAACACTTGAAAACACTCTGAGTCCTTGTACTTGCTATTGTGTTCTCTGCCTGGCATGCTGCCTCTGCTCCCTGGGCATGGCTTCTCTCTCATTCCTCCAATCTCAGCCTACAAGCTCTCTCTGCACAGAGGTCTTTCCTGACGCGGTGTGACCCCCCTCTATCTAGTTGTTTGTCTTCTCTATGAAGCATGGGGCAAGAACCTTGTCTGCCTTGTTCCCTGTGTATCTCAAACCCCTAGCACTGGGCTTGGCAGATTGTACGTCCACACTGACTGTTGGTTTGGTAAATGAATAAATGGAAGGAGACGCTCATGATCAGGATGTTAGATTATTCAGTGTTTTTCAAAGTTCAAATCTAAGACTTATCTCAATGAAGCAGCGAGTTCCAGATATCAGCTCTGACACAAACTAGTTTAGACTTTTGCCAAAGTATGTGAGGACCAGGATGTTTTAAGAAATGTTAAGGGAGCAATTCATGGTTAAATACATATGTATTTAAAAATTTTTTAAATTAGTATTTTTTTATCAGTTTTTCTTTCTTTTAAAGATTGGCACCTCAGCTAACAACTGCCGCCAATCTTCTCTTTTTTTTTCTTTTTTGCTTTATCTTCCCAACCCCCTCGTACATAGTTGTATATCTTAGTTGCAGGTCCTTCTAGTTGCGGGATGTGGGATGCCGCCTCAACGTGGCCTGACGAGCAGTGCCATGTCCGTACCCAGGATCCGAACCCTGGGCCGCCGCAGCGGAGCGCACGAACTTAACCACTCGGCCACACAGCCAGCCCCTAAATTAGTAATTATTAAAACTCTCTTTTTTCTTAGTTTTTCCACTTTTCATCTTATTATACCTTTGGTTTCTGATCTATTAGCCCTTTTGCAGGCAGAAATTAAAGAATAGAGTAGTTAATGCTTGCAAAGTTTTCCCCATTGATTACATTTGTATAAAAAATTTAGTATTTCTTTTTTTAAAGATTTTGTGTTACCTTTTTCTCCCCAAAGCCCCCTGGTACATAGTTGTATATTTTTTTAGATATGGGTCCTTCTAGTTGTGGCATGTGGGACGCCGCCTCAGCATGGCTTGATGAGCGGTGCCATGTCTGCGCCGGGGATCTGAACCAGCGAAACCCTGGGCCACTGCAGCAGAGTGTGCGAACTTAACCACGTGGCCAAGGGGCTGGACCTTTGTTTTTTGTTTTAATTTATTTGAATAGTATCAATTAAATCTTCTCAAGGTATAAGACAAAAGAAGAATATTTTAAGTTTTTATAATGATGAACATAATAGGTTTTGTTATTTTTTCTTTCCTAATTTCTATGCTAAGTTATCTTCCAAGATGTCAACCTGGCTATTTTATGAATTATTTTAGAATACAGCATTTACTAACCGCTTAGCATCAGTAGCTCTAGCTGGCATCCACATTAGTCCAATATGATTGCTTAAAAAGTTTTTAAAGTGATACTGAATCCAATCCTCTGAACTTTTAAAACCACTGTTTTTCCTAAACCTGATTATTCTGATGCCATATTAATTCTTATTTGAGAAAGCAGTGTTCAACAAAATAACAAAGCATGTGTTTCGTAATGAGAAGTTCGATAAGTGGAGAAGGTGACGTGACAAAAATCACAATGGACTTATATAAAATGGAATTTTCTTGTTTGCAAATGATTTTTCTTGCCTTGGTCCAACATACTTGACTGATGAGTGTCCAGCTCATCCTAGTTGACATGCAAACTGACAAGTCAATCGCTAACTAGTTCTTTCTCATTTCTGCCAAGAACCTCTTTTTAACAGCATGTGAAATAAAAACTCCATGCTGAAGGCTGAATCGACACCAGCCCTGAGATTAAGTCTAGAGTACTGTGGAAATCACTGCAAAGAATGCCATCTCCAAAACACGCACCACAAGCTTGGACAAAGCACGAGGGAGCACGCTGAAGGGAATAATGCTGCCTGGCCCCCGGGGAGGGACCAGATGGGACCTAATAGCTCTTTTCTACTACTAATTTCTATGATAATTCCAAGTTGCCACATGGCATATGTATTTTTTTTTCAATCTAAAGACAGAATATCACTCAATGAAGTGACCAGGATTTTAATGAAAGGTATTTTTCATGAACTGTATCTATCCACACACGATATTTCTCACCCACTCATTACCTCCACCCCCCAGTAACACATCACTATGGTTAGGTTGGGAGAAGTATAGAGAGGTCAAGCACAGTATGTTTATAATCATTAGCAATACCAATTAGAAACAAAGAGATTCTAAAGTTTTATTAGGTAGTCAGATGTCTTTTGCAGAAATTTTATGAAGTCACCTTAACTTCTTTTCTTATAATCAGAAATCATGCCTGGATTTAAAGATTACAGCATGCCAGCTAATGTTTGGGAAAAAGTTAAACAGAGTGAAATGTCTTCTGTTTTTAGAGATAACATCAGGTATTAGAGAAGGAGATATTAATGATTTGGGAAAATTACAAAAGAATTTCTAGCCACTCTTGCGAGTTCAAATGCAACTTTCCCTGTCCTCCCCACCACATGCAATTTCTCCCTCCCCTCACCTCCGAGAACACTGTTTGTATTTCTCTGGTGGCACCTGCCACGTTCTTTGACTTACGAGAGTCATTTCACTTGCTGTCGGTTTCTGGTAGGCAGTCTGAGTGACCCTGTCACATTTTCCTCAGCATCCCACCTTATACCCACAACAGACTGTGACTAACAGGGATGGATGAAGGAAGAGACTGAACTTGGGGAAAAATACCCAAGTAGATATGAGCATCTTTTGATAGTCACAGCTTCTCAGCACAAACTTACGTGACTAGATTATGAAAATAAACTCTAAGTTTGATGCAGCACAAAATTATTAATATAAATCAGAAAACAGTATGAAAATCACACTGTTATTTTCAATACAGATTGAAGAAAATTCTCTTTCTTTTTCAACCCAGTGGTGAACACTTACCTCTCATGAAAAACCGCCAGGAATCTGGATTCTGGGATGGTTAATAAGTTACACATTTAAAGCAAAAAGATACAAGCTCTGGTAGAGTGGGATGAGGCACTTCACAGCCCTGCTGGCATTGATGCACGTGGCACATATAAGGCTTGGCAGTAGCTTCCCACTCACTATGGCTCCATCAAACAGAGGCCCAAAAAATGGAACCTGTTGATTCAAAACAGAAAAACACAATCTTCAAAAACCAGTAAAAGTCAAACCAAAGGCATGAGAACAGCTGATTGATGACTCAGACCTGCAACGACCACAAAGGCTGTCACTCACATAATAAATGCTGAACTTAATGGGATACAGGTCGAGGGCTTTCCAAACAAGCAAAACAGGATTGTTCCACAATGCTCCTCTACTACAAATTCTCCAGCAAAACATCTAACAACAAATTATCACTAGGTTACTGTTTTCTTTTCTTGTGTTGCCATTTACAGAAATGGTATTATTCTTCTAAGGGCCTACATTGCATGGATTAGGCACAAAACACAGCTGTGCCTCACTGCACACCTCTAACCTTTCATCCTTTTGGAACCAGTTTTGGAATTGGTAATACTTCTGCATGGATCCTGATGCATATTAACTCTCAAAGGAGATGATGACTATTCCAGTTAACAACTATAAGGTCTTACTTACAGTGCTCATTCTTAACCTTCTTTCTCTCTGCTTCTAAGATATTGCATTATCCTCATTTCCTTCTACTTCTTTAATAGAGACCTGAGTTTCCTTCAGTGGACCCACTTCTACCATGTGGGCAACCCACAAGGTTTTGTGCCTGTCTTTTTTGGATTTCTTTCTCTCGCTCACGTTTTTTTCCAATTAGAATCTCGTTGACTCCATTCACTAATATGGAGATTGTCAACTCCATGAGGTCAAAGACTGGGTCTGCCTTGTAACTTATATTTTATTCACTCTCTCACTTGCTTATTCATTTATTCAAAAAGGAATGTTTATTAGGTAACAGATACTATTCTATTCACTGGGGATACAGCAGTAAATAATAGAAAAAATTCTTGATTTCATTGAGCTTAGAATTTATTAGAGGTTCCAGAGAATAAACAGTTTAAATACATAAAATATATGATATGTTAGGTAGTAAAAGCCAGCCCTGGTGGTCTAGTGGTTAAGACTCACTGTCCTGGCCCAGATTTGTTTCTTGGTCAGGGAGCCACATTACCCATCTGTCGGTTGTCATATTGTGGTGGCTGAAAGCTACCTGTGATGTTCCTGTGATGTTGAAAGCTATGCCACTGGTATTTCAAATACCAGCAGGGTCACCCATGGTGGACAGGTTTCAGTGGAGCTTCCAGACTATGACTAAGAAGAAGGACCTGCCCACCCACTTCTGAAAAAATTGGCCACGAAACCCCTATGAAAAGCAGTGCAGCATTGTCTGATATAGTGCCAGAAGGTGAGAGGATGGTGCAAAAAGACGGGGCAGGGTTCTGCTCTGCTGTCCACAGGGTCACTGGGAGTTGGAATCGACTCAACAGCGCTAATGACAACAAAGGTAGTAAAACTGCTAAGGTGAAAAATAAAGCGGGGAAGAGCAATAGGACTCTTTTTGAGGGGCAAAGTTCTCTAATTTTAGATCACATGACCAGAGAGGGCTTCAAGGAGACGATGACATTTCAGTAAAGATTTGACAAAAGTGAAGGAATGAACCTCAAGCTATGAGGCCATCTGATGGAAGAGCATTCCAGGCAGAGGAACAGCAAATACAATGACCCTGTGGTGGAAGTGGAATTACTATGTTTAAGCAACAGTAAGGAAGCCACAGTGGCTGGAGCTGAGCGAGCAAGAGAAAGAATAGAAGGAAATAAAGTTGGACTGGTAATAAGAGGGGCCTTGCAGGAAGTTTTAAGGATTCTGGATTTCTGCTCAGAGTAAGATGAAAGCCTTCTGGAGGGTTTAGGGAAGAAGGGAACAGGATGTAAACTACATTTAAAAATAAGTATTATTCTGGCTGCTGTGTTGGGAAAACTTCAAAGGGTAAGCATTATAGAGACCACTTAGGGAACTACTGAATAATCCAGGGGAGGGATGATGGTGGCTTGGATCAGAATGGAAGCAGGAGAAATGGGGAGAGGTTGGTTTCTGGATATACTCTGAAGGAAGAGCTGACAGGATTTGCCAAGGATTATTAATGTAGTAGGAGGAAAAGAGAGGTGTCAAGATGATGCCACGGTTTGTTGGCAATTGGAAGGTTGGAGCCACCTTTTCCTGAAATGGAGACGACTGAGAGAGAGGGTCATTAGCTCAATTTTAGCCATGCTAAGTTTGAGATGCCTGTTAGATATCCAGTGGAGATGCATGGAGGCAGCAGTGGATATGACAGGCTGGCAGTCAAGGGAGAGGTTCAGGTTAGAGATTTAAGAGTTAATCATTTATAGATGATGTTTACAGCCGTGAGGTTGGATGATTGAACAAGCACGAAAAGAGGTTCAAGGACTACATCCTGTGGCCCTCCAATGTTTAGAGGTTGGAAACATGAGAAAGAATTAGTAAAGAAGACTGAGAAGGAGTGACTGGAGATGGAGGAGACAAATTTCCAATGAGAAGCACCATAACTGGCACACAGTTGGAATGCAAACACCTGTCAAATGAGTGAAATTAATTAATATTTTAAATAATTTAAATAAATTAATGAATGTGGGTCTCCAACCTAAGTCTTCTGACTTGTGTCAAAGACTATTTATTTGGAGAACATCTTTTCTGTGGTTGGCAGTGGGGGAGGGGCTTGGGATACAACGGTAAATGAAAGACTATCTTTGCCCATAGGAGCTGACACAGGAAAACTACAGACTAACATCCCTCAGAAAAGATGCAAAAATCCTTTACAAAGTTTTAGCAAATTAAATCCAGCAACATTTAAAAAAGACACTGTATCTTGACCAAGTGGTATTTCCCATAAAAAAACAAAGTTGGTTTAACATTCGTAAACCCATCAAGGCAATTTATGACATTAACAGAATAAAGACGAAAAATCATATGATCTTCTTAATAAATACATAACAAGTGCAGATAAAATTCAACTCTCATTCATGACAAAAAAAAAAAAATCCTAGCAAACTGGGAATAGAAGGGAACTTCCTCAACTTGACGAAATCTTAGAGGAAAAAAATTATGGCAACATAATTAATGGTGAAATATTAAACGTTTTCTAAGCTCTAAAAAGGCAAGAATGTCTATGCTCACCTCTTCTATTCAATATTTTTGAAGGTTTTAGTCATTACAATAAAGAAAAATAAGAGAAAGAAAGGAAGTAAAAGGAAAGGAGCATAAAGATTAAAAAGCAGTAGTTATTTTTATTCACGGATAACATGATTATGTACATGAAAAATCCAAAGGAATTTAACTAGAACTAGTAAATGAATTTTGAAAGGTCAAAAGATACAATATACCCTCCAAATCAATTGGATTTCTGAATATTAGCAACCAACAACTGAAAAATGACATTTAAAAATACTGCATCAAAACATCAAATACGTATAAATAAATCTGACAAAAGACATGCAAGACATTGTACTTAAAACTGCTAAACATTGCTGAGATAAATTAGAGACAATCTAAATAAATGGAAATATGTACAATGTTCATGGATTGGAAGTTTCCACATTGTTAAGATGTCAAGTCTTCTGATATTGAGCTATAGATTTAGCACAAACCAAATCAAAATTCTAGCAAGCTGTTTTTATAGATATGGACAAGCTGATTCTAAATTTATATGGAAATTAAATGACATAAATTAGCCAATGCAATAATAAGAAGGTTTAGATTACCTGATTTCAAGGCATACTATAAGACTATAATAATTAATATATCATAATATTAGCACCAGGATAGACAAATATATCAAGAGAATAGAATATGGAGTCCAAGAATAGAGCCACGTATATATGGTAACTGATTTGCAACAAAGGCAGCACATCAATTTTACGGGAAAAGAAAAGTCTGTTTCAATAAAGACACTGAAACAACTGGATAGCCATATTGAAAAGGGAACCTTGACCTCTACCTCATATCACACACAAAAACTGAGATGGATTATAGATTGAAATATTAAAGCTAAAATCACAAAGATTCTACAAGGAAACATGTGAGAAAATCTTCACAACCTTGGGTTAGGCAAAGATTTCTTAGGTACAAAAGGCACCAACCATAAAATAAAAAATAAATAAATTGAACTTAATAAAAATTTTAAAAATTCTATTCATCCTGAAAGTGAAATTGCAAGTCACACATATTTACCAAACTGGATATACCCTAAAGGTCCATCAACAGGAGAATGAATAAAAAATTTGTGGTCTATTCACCCAATAGAATCTTCCATAGTAACGAAATGAACAAACCACAACTACATGTAACGTCACGGAAATGACCCAAATATAATGCTGAGTGAAAGAAATAGACACATAGAAGTTCATATTATATAATTCCATTCATAGAAAGTTGAAAAACAGGTAAAAGTAATCAGTGCTGACAGAAGTTGAATAGTGGCCCTGTTTGGGGGGAATTAGTGCTTGGGAGGGGGCATAATGGAGATTTCTGGGACTAGTAACATCCTATGTTTAGATATGAGTAGTATTAAATTGTTTGCTTTGAAAACATTTCATCACACTGTACACTTAAAATTTGTGCCTTTATTACTGCTATGTTTCAAAGAAAGTATTTTTAAAAAAACAAGCAAGACTATAGAAGATTTGAACAACACAACAAACTCATTTTAATGGATACATATAAAATACTTCATCCAAGAACTGCAAAAGACACATTCTTTTCAAGCACGCATAGAATATTTTTAAAAAATTGACCATATTCTCAGCCAAGGGTTCACAAACATGGCCTGCAGGGCCTAATTCTAGCCTGGTGCCTTTTTGTGTATGGCCTGGAAGCCAAGAATGGTTTTTATGTTTTTAAACAATTGAAAATAATTTGTTTTGTGACATATGATAATTATATAAAGCTCAAAATCAGTCCAAAAATAACTTTTACTGGAACACAACCACACTCCTTCACTTGTGTATTGCCTGTGCCTGTTTTCGCACAGCAATGGCAGAGCTGAGTAGTTGTGACAGACACTGTGTGGGCCACAAAGCCTAAAATATTTCTTCACAGAAAAAGTTTGCTGAGCCCTGTTCTAGGTCATAAAGCAAGTC